AAATTGTATTGGGTAAGTATGAGGTTCGCAATTCATGGTAATATGGGCAAACAAGAAGAAAGTGAAACTCATTTTCAATTTCATCTATGTCACAAAGAGGGCAAATACGTTCGTCTCTCTCAATTGCACCACGATCTCTTTCAATGCGAAGGCAGTAAGAAGAACATCGAAACCGTGCAAGAGTTACTCTATGGGAATAAATTCCAACAGATTTTAAGTATTTTATTGAGATATTGAACTTTTCACCAGTATATGTAGTCAGCCATCTTGAAAAGAATTATGGGTAACTGTGATATCATAGCCATTGTTGAGAAAAAAATATTGAAAAATGATGTTGAGAAAATAATTTCATCTGTAACCTCTAATTAGTAGAACTTCAAATTGATTGAAAAGAATTATGGGTAACTGTGATATCATAGCCATTGTTGAGAAAAAAATATTGAAAAATGATGTTGAGAAAATAATTTCATCTGTAACCTCTAATTAGTAGAACTTCAAATTGATTGAAAGTTTAGAACATGGTAGCATACCAGTACCAATCATACATATAAAATGTTTATCATGGTAACATAACTGAAAATATTATTTTGATTTTTTACATTCTTCTACCAAATGCTCAATATTTATATATTTGTATTATTTGTATATTTAATACAATTTATTCATTTTCAACAACCAAAATAACATTTTTTTATTGATTTTATCATTTTGGTAATATCTTTACTGTTTTGACTGTGTACCGGTAATTGCAAGTTTTTATTTCCATAATTATATACATTAGTAATAATTATATAAATTAGTAATATGCACACTAAAAACTAATTTGCATCAGTGTTGCTCAAGGTATGGATAAAATCATTTTCTCATTTTTTTTTGCAACAAATGTCGTGATGTCACATATTTTTCCCATAATTCTTTAAAGGGAATCAAAATGGTGGACAAAATTTACTAAATAAAACGTTGAATATTTATGACCTGTTGAGTGGACAGGGAATGTCTTACGTTGCTGTCGGACAAAATATCCTACCACCAACCAGCCAAATACCAACTAAATTAGTAGTTTAGTTTGGTTCATAGTATTTAGTAACCGTTCTTTCGTCCTAAATATGGTCACAAACATGGGTGTAATCTAAGACAACACTTTCAAATTCAACGAAAACGGCCATGATTGTATTTTTTCAATAATGCATGCGGCAACTGAACACGAATTGCTCGTCTGGGGGCTTTAATTTCCATGACTTATTGTTACGAACTACTTGTCAATGTTTGCTTAGCCTATTTAAACACATATAAAGTACATTCCATTATAGTCGGTCTCTTGTCAATATTCGCCTTGATTGTGTTAAGTTTGATTGTGTGAAACCATCACTGTGTAATATCTATTGACGATGTTATATTGACGTTTTAAGATAGGGTATGTAGTGCGGCGATCTATGTGATGGGCATGACGTCATATCCTGTTTTTCTATTATCCTGATGTTCAGTGAAGTTACGTGCAATTAGGTAGCTTATGTTGTGGCACTGTATGTGTGTATGTCGTAAACACTAAAGACGAAACTTAGTACCAAGTTCACTTTCATTGTTGTTTGATTTTTAATTAGCAAATTGAACATGATCCACGTCAACAAGTGGTTCAAATTGAATGCAGCTTGACAAAGAAAAACAAGATGCTTATATTATTCTTTGCCAAATATGACCATGCATGTATTTGTTACGTGCGTTTCGTATCCAGGTCATAGGATTTCAGCTCATTAAAAACACAATGAACTGTACATACATTTCTTTTTCTGTGCACTGCGTACTAAGATGAACTAAATGGCGGCCCTCCGTTCTTTTATTGTATCAACCAACATCGACAATAATTGTTCTAGGTTAGTATAATATGTGATCCATTTGCTAATAATTAAATTCATACAATTAGCTAATTTACATACACAACTTTGCATTCAATATTAATAAAGCGACTGTAACAAACAAACAGGCTACTAGAGGATAACACTGGTAATCATGCGTTATTGGCACTTTCGTGCTCACTAGTTGGCATATCGTGTACTCAAGTTACACAATAAATGCATTTGAGGGTGAAGTGGGAAAACAAACACACTGAGCTGTCTGAACACGTATTAAATTGCCCGCGCATGCGCCGTTATCGCGTTATCACAGTTTCCTGACTTGTTGAATCTACGTTAGAATTATTTCTATTACCCTGCGGTCATAAAATAACATTTATATATGAATTGTTATTTTCTAATATTGCTATTTTTCAACATCCACCGATTCCAAATAAGCATCGTGCAATATGAAATGTTAATATTACAATTGTCATGACCAATAAAGTTTCTCGCGTGACGAGAGCTGTTCACGCGTTAACACGTGTTACTCGTGTTAGAATATAGAAAACCATTCCCAATGGTTTTGTATTTATAGTATCGCTTAAAGGCGCATTTATAAAGGTATTTACTAAAAAGTACAACATTCAAATAGATTGAGATAATATGAGCTATCATGACTGTCACATGCAAGTATACATCCGCGAACTGTCAACATTGTAGCAGACATTCATAGTACTGTTCTAGAATCCATCAAATTGAATTCTTGCACAGCTTTAATATGGGGAACAAAACGATGAACCCAGTCACAATCACAATTACAATTACATTATAAGCAAATTTCATAATATACATATACTGAAAAATTCTTTTTTGTTGTTATAAAGTTAAGAAAGAATGAACGTGTCTAGTACCCTTTCACTATTATAATAGTTCTGCGTTAATCATAACTAATATGCCTATGGCATCATGAAATAGGACCTAGTTTATTTGACTTACAAGTCAGTAACTGCCAGTGATTAATATTAATCCTAAATCGCAAGTAATTCTTGTCTAGTAACAATCATCTTCTATAAATTCTGGCACAGACGTTCTGAGGTACCTACATTCCTTTATTTCTCGTTTCCACTGATCGTATTGTCTTTCCTCCAACGCAGCGCGAAGAGTGTCGTATTGCGAGTCCATCATAGCTTCGCGATTGGTCGCCAGCCTTGAAACCAGCTGTTTCAGTCTGTGTTGCACTATTAGGGCACTTTCTTCTTTCCGAGTGTCTTTATTTAGACCTAATTTGACTTTCAGTTGCCGCCATCGTTCCTTTGCCTTACTGGATGTTTTTATACTCTGGTTGCAGACTACCTGTGTTGAAGATGGAGACGTGACGTCATCATGATTTGAGTTGCATTCAGTTTTTACATCATTCACAAAATGACTTGATTTCATAGTCGTGGCGACTGTGTTTATATATCGTTTACATTCACGATAGTTGGGCATATCTTCTGTTGTGTAATTCCGTGGTGCTTGTTTCGATAACTTCACCAATGGTACGTCTCGTAACAACATCTCTGTGGCGCTTCTTCTAAGTGGGGGCATTTTCATTTCCGATCGACCCTCCCTTTTTGCCACATACGTGGACTTAGGAAATTGAAGAAATGCCGTCAGTGGGGGTAGATGAGTACTAGACCTTGTACTGGCGTTCCCAAGTGACCTCAGTGCGTCCAAATCATGGAATTCTTTGTAAGAATGGCCACTCTTTCCAAGAGAAGAAGACGCATCGGTTGTATTCCCCCTGTGTTTACGTTTTGGTTTTGCTTCTCGGGTTTCTGCAAAATCTTCTGTCGAGCTTTTTGGTTTATACTTCATTAGACGAGTTCGCGCTTCTACCACAACTTGGGCTAAATTTGCATCTACTGCCATTTTAGCCTCTCTGGTAATCTGTGATCTGCTTTTCACTTTGACATCGCTGGACCGCCGTCTTCTTCTCGCCATTAGCCGCATCAATTCGATTTCTAGAACGCTCTCGTCGTAAACTCTCTTTGGGTCGATACCATGCCAACTTCTTGAAAGCCCTGGGGTAGTTACTGAATGTCTAGATGAGAATGAAGGCGAATCTGAGACTGGTGGATATGTAATAATACAAGGGGTAGGTCGACCAACGTCTACAATCTCATTAGGCCCCCTTGAATCAGAGACAGAAGTGTCTGCATTCGAACAGCTACCTGTAAATTGAGAACCAAGTTGTCCTTCCGCCGAGGCAACAATCGGGAGAACATGTGTCGACGCTCGAACTCTTTGACTTGCAGCATTACTTGATGGCATATTATAGGAAATCGGTGCTACTATCGTCGGTATCACAGAGTCACTTTCCGACAGACATCTTCTTTGCCTTGATACGCTTTTCCTATGTTTAGTATTCGTACTCGGCGGGTAGTCAAGTGATTTTGATGAGTGATTGGTCTGAAACTCTTTCAACTGCTGTGTTAAATCGTGTTTCTCGGCATGAATGTTCTGTATACTGCCTCTACGACCCCTCTCTATATGCTCATTATCCCTTTGTAGTTTCTTGTCGGCAAGACGATTAAGGCACATTGCCCTTCTTCGAGATTCCTCCATAATCGGTTCAAGTCCCAGCCAGTGTATATCTATCAAGCGATTCAAACTGTCTCGTGTGACCTTATAATTAGATGGCGACTTCCCAACTGTACAAACTTCTAAGGTTTTGTTCAGTTCTGTTTTGCTATACTAAGATTTACAATAAAAAAGGCGTCATCTTTGACTGTATTTTTTCTTTAATGGCAAACCAATTTGTCGGCAATAAAGACCAGTTACAATACACACATTGCTATTATGTTTGAACACAATGATATGTGTCACGTGGTAACGAAATTGCAAACGTACCACTTACCAGTCATTACTGGTATTATAACTCATGGAATTGATAAAATTACGTTCACAAGTACACGTGAGACTTTTAATGTGATTAGAGGATTATGATTATACTTCACCGCGTCCAAATCCCTTGTACATTCGACGAAAACCCCTCGTAATTTGTAACAACTATGCAGCAATGAGACTAGTCGTATGCACAGGTGGTTCGTCGTAGTTGTCAATTTCTTTTTATACAGTGTTTACAGCCATGCTTTGAACACGGTGAACAACGACAAGTCTATTCTATTCTAGTAAATTTGAGATTTAATGAGATACAGTCATGTAATTGATCGATATTTTACTCGATCGATATTATATATTTTCCAGTCAGCATTTTGCACATCGCTGACTATGTTGTTGTTCTTCTGAATCCTGAAAAGTCCCGGTAACTTAAAGTAGCACTTGCACGACTCAAGTTAAGCAAACCTTGATGTCCATCGATTTTCATATTCTGATATTTGATCACAGGGTAGTATTATATACGTGTATTTTAATGTTAACAAATGAAATACACGATTGCTGCATTACATATGACAATCACGTCTAGAATGCGTGCGACCAACTACTTATTGTGAAATAACTGTTATTCAGTAGCCTGAGTAGGTATTGTAACAGGTGGATGCTATATACATTGTGCTACTATCACCTAGTGCGTGCTTTCACTAGACTATTATATTGAAATGGCACGTGCTTCAACGTATTGACAATCTATATGACAGTTAACTGACTGCGAGAAAGTTTAATTAAAAACACACCCATGTGTCAATGTCGATCTCGCGTGAATGAAACTCGCTATTTCAAGTTGTCAATATCACGATGCGCCAAATTGTAGTAATATACAACATTTCTATTACACAATGGTCACAAACTGGCAACGTCACGTTATTCGTCACGGTTCATTCAACTCCTTATTGCAATGTATTATGTGTTATCGTCTTATAAACTCAATGTTGCTCAATACAAACAAAAAATGTAAATATTAACGTTGTATTGTCCACATTGATCAAAGTTTGTATTTGGATGAGAATGTTGGTGTTGGTATCGCAGAGACTACCGTTTTTTCGTCTGTGGAACGTTAGACCATCTAGTTAGCAGCGCCCTCACTAGCCCAACACTACTAGACATTACTGTAGTTAGGATGAGCCTACCCATGGAAGGTACTAACGGATAGTACCTTCCATGGCCTACCGAATAAAACGTATACATTTGTACACAGTCCCTGTGATTTGTACCAAGAATCCAATGTAAGTAGGGACCATGAATGAAATACATGTACATTTGTCTCCATGATTAGGCTAATCTTATTATAATTAATTTATAATATGACCTGTATCCATTTCAATCTTTGTCTCTGAAACCCTCAGCACATGTTAGTTATTTCTAAGCTTTTTGAATTTCAAAGTTCACGTCGA